CGAAGTCTATAAATAATTCTCTTTGGATCTATTGGCTTCTTAGTTACTTATTGGAAGCAGCTCTCTCTCTCTCTCTCTCCCCCGACTCTGTCTCTCTCTCCTCTTTCTCTCTCTCTCTCTCTCTCTCTCCCCCGACTCTGTCTCTCTCTCCTCTTTCTCTCTCTCTCTCTCTCTCTCTCTCTGCCTGATCTCTTGTCAAGGGTAGAGATCAAGTTACTAATGAGAGAGAGAGAGAGAGAGAGAGAGAGTAATTAGTCACATCTACTCTAATGTACACAAACATTTTCTCCGCGTTATATAATTTTTTCCCCCAGGACGAGTTTGTCTAAAAGGAACCTCACTATTTTTTTCAAGGTGTCACTCTTAGCTGGGAACAAATTTTTTTTTCTCGGATTTATTTTTTTCTGTATCATCAACTGTATAAAAAATTCTAAAATAAGAAAAAGAATGTTTTAATGGTACTCGTTTTGTCCGCATTTCTCGCGATGTCTTTTCTGTACTTGATTAACGATTCTGTGTGTGTGTGTGTGTCTGTTTGCCTCTCCTCTTGTTAAGAAAATAAAGACTTTTCCTCCATCTTCTCCAATTATCATCGTGTTTGGAAATTACCAACTATATGGTGATTGGCGTCTATAGTGTGTGACATCACTATATAGGTGTGACATCATTATAGGGTGTTACGTCTCTATACCAGTGTGACATCACTATACAGGGTAGAGGCGCAGGTTGTAACACATCACACACACACATGAGCGATATAAAATTAATAGTGTAATAATTCACATGTGATTAATCTCTCTCTCTCTCTCTCTCTCTCTCTCTCTCTCTCTCACATTTTATTTTTTGTAACGGGAAAAAAGTTCTGTCAGCAACTGGTATCTCAGACAGACAGCAGACGGGCCAGCAGACCATCTCTAGACAGACCCCTAACACTATAGTCTGCATTATTTGAATTATAGCTATGGAATCAAAACACAACTTATGAGGAGTAAGGGGATTAATTTGAACTGTATTTGATAACACTGAATAGTATAACAGGGTGAGGGTGAGGTGAGGTGAGGAGGTGAGGTGAGAATGTGAGGTGGTGAGGTGAGTGAAGAGGAGGTGAGGTGAGGAGGTGAGGAGGAGGTGAGGTGAGAATGGGGTGAGGTGGTGAGGTGAGAGGAGGTGGTGAGGTGAGAATGTGTGGGGTGGGGTGGGGGTGAGGGGGTGGGGGGGGGTGAGAGTGGGTGTGTGGTGAAACGGGGGTAGGGAGGAAAGAGGTGGAAGAGGGGCAGGAGGGGGAGGGGAGGGAGGGTGGGAGGTGGTGGTCCAGAGAACATTTTACTACAGTTAATTGCTTGTAAATAAATCTCTTTGAACAAAACATTATTAGAGGTAGTTAAAAAAAATATATATAGTGATTGATAATGGTTGTTGAAGGTCAATTGGCTAGTCGGTGACCCTTCCTGACTTAACGGATGGAGGTATTTCACGTGAGAGGGCAAGATTATTGATTTTTTTTAATAGATTAGTTTTTCTCGTGATTTCAGAGGTGTGTTGTCATGGTTAGGTTAGGTTAGGTTAGGTTAAGTGGGGTGGCTAAAGTTCACGTGATCCGGTTTCCTCTTGAGAGCATTTCTGAGGAACATCTTTCTTACTTATGCCACTTTGACCAGTAACCATTTCCTCTTGTCTATACCCGGCTGAGACACACACACACACACACACACACACACACACACACACACACACAGAAAGCATCATTATATTTCCCCGGTAGCGATAATCTGTACTTAAAGATTTATCAATATGACCCAGGCTGCTCCCTCACCCTCCCCTCCCCTCCCCCTCCCCTCACCCCTCCACACACCTTCCCCCCCCCCTCGGGTCTTTACAGGTAGAGTAAATAATTTGCTTTAAACTGTAGGAATATCTTACCTCTCCCTTGTGTTTCTCTGTCTGTCTGTCTGTGTCTGTCTGTCTGTCTGTCTGTGTATGTCTGTCTGTCTGGCTGTCTGTCTGTCTCTCTGTCTGCCCGTCTATCTGTCTGTATTTATGTCTATCTGTCTTAAAATAATGAATATTTACCTACGAGTGTTAATGTCATTGCCGTATAAATAAATAAATAATTCCATAATAAATGAATAATTCCCTAGAAAATTCTAATGCATCTGTTGTGTAAATAAACTAATTCTTCGTCGTCTAGAAACAGAGAGTGAAAAAATTATTAAATATAATCACCTTTAATAATTGGGACAAAAATACCTCACAATAATATAATTTATTAATTTATTTAGCTTGGAAATTTTAAACCTTAATATATAACTAATGATTTACGTTATGTATGAGTGTATGTATGAGTGTATGTATGAGTGTATGCATGAGTGTATGTATGAGTGTATGTCATGTATACTCGGATATTAGTATAGTTTTTAATAGAAAATTTATCTCACTGGTGTAATTCAGGGTTGTGTTATGAATAAATTACTCACAGGATTAGTTGGTGTAATTGAACATTAAAATAGTGTGGAAGTGTCAATGGGACTGGTATTGACTAGCTGGGTTAGGTTAGGTTAGTGTTAGGTCAAGTTAGGTTGGGTTAAGTTAGGTTCTTGACCATACCTGTACCATACCTGTGCCAATCACCGTTTGTTTCAGTACAAAATATATGTCAGGCTTCATTTAATATTCTTACGAGATTAAAAAAATAAACTTCTTTTTCCCCCTACGACCCATAATGACCCCCAACCAGGCCATTAACGAGAGATAATAATGATTACTTGGTCGTTCCTCACCCTCACTTGACCATCCCTGAAGTCTTCCTCATCACCATCACCACCATCATTCACCATCATTCACCAACACCACCATCATTCACCATCATTCACCATCACCACCATCACCACCACTACCACCACCATTACCACTATCACCATCATCATCATCATCATCATTACTACCACTTGACGTCATCATTATCTGCATCTTTGTTTTTGTCGTCATTATCGTCACCATTATTATTATTATTACCATACCACTAACTCCCTTTAACCTCTCACCCCTTCCCCCTTACCTCACCCCTCCCCTTACCTCACCCCTTCCCCCCTTACCTCCTCCCTCCCCCCTTCCCTCACCCCTCCCCTGCCTCACCCCCCTCCCCTTACCTCACCCCTTCCCCCTCCCACCTCACCCCCTCCCCTTACCTCACTCCCTCTCCCTCCCTCACCCCTCCCCCTTACCTCTACACACCCAGCCGTGTTGTCATCAGGTCCTCCTAATGGACCTTTAATGCTCACCTGTGTGTCATTCGGCTTTTACCTTTCAATCACTTACCGTGTTGATTGCTTCTGTCACCACCTGTTGACCTATAACCATCACTAACTACCGTGACCTTTTTTTTTATACGAGTGTTTCTGTGATTGTAGTTGTGATTATACTAGCGATTATACCGATGGTTATATCGATTATTATCCCCTTGACAACCCTCCCTCTCCTCCCTTACACCCTCCCTCTCCTCCCTTACACCTCCCCACTCCCCTCACCCCTGTCTCTCCCACTCTCACCCCTGCTCACCCCCAACTGCTCACCCATTCTCCCCACGCCTCACCTCTCTACACCACCTCTTCACACCCACCTCCTTCACACCTCACCTCCTCTACGCCCTCATTCTCTACACCCCCTCACCCTCCTCTACGCCCTCACCCTCCTCTGGCTTCCGGCACTCCTCTGGCTAGACCCGGGAATTCTCCATGACGCCCCTCAAATTGTTTGGCTGAATGTCATCATCGTCTGTGTATATTCACCCGGAACCACGAGAGAAAACTTTACTATTTTTACTCTTATTCTTTTTCAGGGTGTGTGTGTGTGTGTGTGTGTGTGTGTGTGTGTGTGTGTGTGTGTGTGTGTGTGTGTGTGTGTGTGTGTGTGTGTGTGTGTGTGGTGTGTGTGTGTGTGTGGTGTGTGTGTGTGTGGTGTGTGTGTGTATGTGTGTGTGTGTGTGTGTGTCGTCTCAGCTAACATGAATGACGTCACTAACTGGGTTCCACATTTAGTTAAGAAACCTAAAACAGTGATTCTAACCACCATTTAATCAGGGTTACATAAATAATAACTTATCTTCGTAAAACTCTTGAAATATTATACATTTTAACTAATATAAACAAACCAACATTAAATAATATATACCTATAATATTTCTTATATTTATACATCATATATCTTCTATACTTTTAAGCCTAACTAAAAAACTCATTGAATATAACCAGGTTTTAATTTACCTCGGAGCTAATTTTTTTAATATACAGGAAGCTTTAAACGCTAATCACCATTATGCAGGTTATGGCTTAATGAGATTTGAATTGAATTTATAGCGTGTGTGTGTGTGTGTGTGTGTGTGTGTGTGTGTGTGTGTGTGTACAAAAAGAGAGAGGTGTGCTGTAGACAAAATTACTTACGTGTTATTTTTCGGAGAGAGAGAGAGAGAGAGTAAGATAAAAGGAAAAAAAAAGTGTTTGATGTAGACAAATTATGACATAAATTCTTGTTTGCGGGAGAGGAAACAGACCCAGCGAGTGTGTGTGTTGTAGACAAATTTTATACAACTGTTGTAGCAGGTGTAGGGGGTTGTATCCAGGCTCCTAACTACAACCACCAACATCTTTTTCACTTTTACTTAAAATATGTACTGTATGTATGTATGTATGTATGTATGTATGTATGTATGTATGTATGTATGTATGTGTGTATATTTAGTTATATGACTGTGTATATGTAATTGTGTATATCGTTACTTATTATATGTATGTGTGTATTGTAAATGTGTATATCTATGTGTATATTTGTATGTCTGTATTTCCCCCGACACTGAGTAAGTCGGGTGGGTGGGTTCGGGTCTGTATGTGTCTCTGTCAATACCCCGACAGGCCGACCAATACCCGAGTCTTTATTGCTGCACAAAAACTTCTCCCGACAGCCTCACCCTTCTCTTTCTTCCTCCGTGGCTTTTAAGAGATTTCTACAATATAAGCCTCCAACAAGAGATGAGCCTCCAACAAGAGAAGAACCTCCAACAAGAGAAGAACCTCCAACAAGAGAAGAACCTCCAACAAGAGAAGAACCTCCAATAAGAGGCGACCCTCCAACAAGAGATGTTAGTTGAATATCCACAAACATTTTTCAGAATTACAGAATAAATTTTTTTTTATATATATATAAATAAAAACTCGAGGAAAAATATCACACCTTCCCCTGAAAAAAAAAAATATTCCTATAGAAAATATTAAAATAAAAATATTAATAAAAAAGCCCCCCCCCTTTTACCTTCCTCCTCCTCCCCCCCAAAAAAATTCCCGCCTTAAAAAATATTACAGTTCTCCATAAAAGAAAAAGGGAGGGAAAAAAATGCTCGTAGAGGGAAATACAAATGCTGACAGCGAGAACATTTTCCATCCCTACTCGAATTTCTCTCTTTTGTCAATTTTATTTTCAGCAACTTTCCCGCAAAATATTGAGAGGATCTTACAAACACACAGACGTCAAAACAAAGAATTTAATCTCAATAAAAACTACATAATCTAACTTAATTAATACGTACTTAAAAGACCTTAATTAAGAAAGTATAGCAACTCATTATTATAACATAACATACATCACTTCACGAGGGTCAAATGAGAATAAAATAAATGTTAGTTGCTTGAATACTAGGCAGAGATATGTGTGTGTGCCTGTTTGGATTTCTTTCCGGGTTGTGAAGGTGTGTCCAGGCTGCAGTCGCAAATATTAAACGCATATTTCAACTCGTTCCTCTGCTTCCTACCCCCTGTTGCTGGTGTGGCGGGAATATCTTGTTATTATTGTTATTTTTACTGTTATTCGTAGTGTTATTATCTTTGTTATTGTTATTTTTGTTTTTAGTATTGTTAGTTTTATTATTATTACAATTATTATTATTTGTTGTTGTTATTAAATTGATACTGTGAGCCTGAATTAAAAGTTTGTTGAGTAGTTATCGATATTGTAAGCCTGAAAGAAAGCTAGTGAAGTTTCTAACCCGTGGCTCAGGATTCGTCTTAGCTTTTGTCAGTCACTCTTAGTTAAAGTAATCATAGCATCAAGGCCTAAGCCAGGGACAGAAACCGAACACTCGTAAACAATAGAAAAGAAAATATAATCGAGAAATCGGATATAAATTGCGAATCTTTGTTGAATTATTGGCCATATAATTGGTGGATGTTTTCTCATATTATTGGTGAGTTTGCTGTTTAAATTACTGGCGAATATGTAGTTAGATAATTGGCGAATATGGGGTTAGATTATTGGCAAATCTTTGTTCATATCATTGGCGAAATTTTAACCTCAAGTAACTGGCGAATCTAATTGGCGAATCTATGCTCAAAATTATCTATCACTAGCAAGTCTACGGACATGGCGCACCCACATTCAATTACTCGCCCATCATTGCTTAGACAACTGGCGAATCTTAACTCAAATAACCCCTAAAGACAGGACGCAATTACACTGAGCTAACACTTACCATTTCCTCTTTCATTATATACAACTGATCTTCGCAATTTTTATCAGGACAAGGGACACGACATTGCATTTCTTATTTCCATTTATGTGCTCAAATAATTGTTTCATTTTCATCCTTTGTTAGATATGTATGTGTGTGTGTGTGTGTGTGTGTGTGTGTGTGTGTGTGTGTGTGTCCTGTTCTCTCTCTGTCGTTGTATTTCTCTTTTTTATTGGTATTTCTTTGTGTTTTTCTATTTCTCGGATTTTTTTTCTTCATTGTGTCTGTCTGTTTCTCTTGTTTATTTATTTATCTTTCTTTATGTTTCTGTCTCTCTCTCTTTCTTTAGCTACCTATCACGTTATATTTTATCTCGGGTTTGTTTATTTCCTCTTATGTATTTCTCTTGCTTTCGTTCATGTTCTCTCTTTAACCTACTTTCTCTCGTGTGTCTAATCAAGGAAACTCTGTTCTTTCCGCGTCCTCACAATCACAGTTTGATTTCACTTCGCTGGCAGATTCATCCCAAGTAAACGGAGGAAGATTCACTTTAGGTAAATACAGAAATTGGTTAATATTTACCTGTTTATCAAGGGAGGGAAGGGGGTGAAGTGAGGGAGGGAGGTGGGTGAGGGAGGGAAGGGGGTCAGGGAGGGAGGGAGTGAGGGAAGGGGTGAGGGATTGAAGGAGGAGGGTTGCATTTTCTGTTAAAGGTTAAAAACAAACACCTCCAGATGTCATTATTTTCTCCCCAGTCTCTGTATTAGCCTGAGAGAGAGAGAGAGAGAGAGAGAGAGAGAGAGAGAGAGAGAGAGAGAGAGTGAATGAAACAGCTTGGCCTATTCTTACGACTGAATATAATTGTTGTTTTTATTAGCGTATGTTGGGTTAGGTTAGTTTAGGTTAGTTTAGGTTAGGTTAGGGTAAGGTTAGTTTAGGTTAGGTTAGGTTAGGTTAGGAGTTGAGTGGTGGGGAGATGAATGAGTCGTCATCTGAGCCGTTTGTCTGTTTGATGGGAAAGTAATGATATGTTTTCTGAGTCTCCCAGACCACCGCCAGATGGTGTGTGTGTGTGTGTGTGTGTGTGTGTGTGTGTAACTTTTCTCTAAGCGATCACAAAAGCCTTCAACTTTTCCTTCAACAGATTGTGTTCTTTCATTCTTTTTACCGCTATCTTTATCTCCCTCTTTTATACTTTCTCTCTCTCTCTGTTTCCCATTGGCTCTGTTTCTTTCTCTCTTTTATTCTTTCTATCTCTATCTTTCTTTCTTTCTCTCGCTCTTACTCTTTTCCGTGGCAAAGCCTTTGGAGCTCTTACAAATATTATTCAGGTTAGGTTAGGCCTGGTTTGGTTAGGTTAGGCCTGGTCTGATTTGGTTAGGTTAGGTTAGGATGAAATAGGTTTACTTAAATTAGGCAAAAATAAGTTATCTTAGATTAAATTAACATTAGATTAGATTAGCATAATAGTGTTTTACCTTTTGATAATATAGGGGTGCCTAATCTTTACGTCCTCAGCTGTTGAGAATAAATAGTAATAGGAGTGAAAAGTAATCTGTATTGTATTGCTATATAAAGGTAAGTTATAATCAGGAAGTTACTATTCACACCTGTAATTAAAACTCAGACTTACCTGTATAAAACACAAAGTTAACACCTACAAAAACGTCCTTAATTATCTACTACATTCCACAAACATTCATTATAACATTCAGTACGTACAACATAAACTCATTCACAAAGTTACTAATAAACACAGGTTCATTATATCTCACAGTACATAAAATACGAACTTCTAAAAATCCCATTATAAACGTTTTACTGTGTTAAAATCTATCACAAACACCTATATATATATATTTTAAGGGTATTATATATATAAAACCCAGATTTAGTGGACATATATGTAGCCTAAGTAAATATATATTGGATACGTAAATAAAGACAAGTAACAAACAGCAGCAATATTGGAACAAACATAAACTTGCAACACACAAAAATAAGGACATAGCTCTTCTGTGTGTTGTAATTAAAATAGTTACATGAATACACTGGTTCTCTCTACAAAAATCCTTACGGTGGAGTAAAATATGTAGATTAATGGAGGGGTAAAGATGTGGAAAATGCGGGGAAAATGTGGAAGATGCTGGAAAATAGTGAAAAATGGTGAAAAATGTCGGAATGTGGTGATCAATGTCAAATGCAGACAGACAGACAGAGAGACAGACACACACACACGCACACACACAGACGGACACACACACACACAATCTTTCTCAGACTCGTTCTCTCTCACGGTATTTCTCTCCCTATCTCTTTCTATCTCTCTCACACACACAGAAGGCTTTTATCTCTCAGCCCACGTCTCACCCCCAGCCACTTGTCTCATGTTTCCTGCCTCCTGTCCTATCTCTCTCTGTCACAATTCTTTGATATATCCTCGAACAGAACAATAATGAACCACCTGAAGATTAGCCCCCCTCACACTGTGCTATTGTCAACTTGCTCTCTCCCTCACTCTCCCTCACGCTGCATAATCTCCCCCACACTCCCTCACACTCCCCCACACTCCCTCACACTCCCTCACACTTTACATCAACAAACATGGAATTTTACGTGAGGTATCGGGTTCTATATCAAGGTCATGTCAGGTCACCTTAGGGCTCACTTCCTTGAGCGTCAAGTGACCTAACAAGTCAGACAAACAGCCCGACATAATCACCTAATGGTCGGTTTCTTTTCCTTATGATAAAGATATACTAATGAAAACACTACTGTAGGTTTCTCCCATACTTCCCCAGTAGATAATAATATTTACGGTAGTTTGATACTTACTAAAGTTACTTAAAGATATAGGTAGGTGTTAAGGTGTGCTAAGGTGTGTTAAAGTGTGTTAAGGTGTGTTAAAGTGTGCTAAGGTGTTGTAAAGTGTGTTAAGGTGTAGTAAAGTGTGTTAAGGTGTTGCAGGTGTCGTAAGGTGAACCCTAACACACGAACGACACACATCACGAAATTTGTCACAGATACTAAAGAAAAGAGAATGTAAATTAAGTTGAATAATTCTCGTGTGTGTGTGTGTGTGTGTGTGTGTGTGTCTGCCAGTGGTGGTATGGTGGTGATGGTGTGGTGGCGGTGTGGTGATGGTGTAGTGGTCCTGTGGTGATGCTGTGGTGGCGGTGTGGTGATGGTGTAGTGGTGCTGTGGTGATGGTGTGGTGATAGTAGTCGTGGAGGCAGAGGTGTGATGGCTGCCTCAGGTGGTAAGACTCTTGCAGGCGTTAGAATTCGTCACCATCTTTTAACAGGTGAATATTTCCTTACCTCGAGTATACTGATAGTGACACTGACGCCAAGAAAGACACTGAGAAAGATACTGAGAAAGACACTGAGAAAGACACTGAGAAACACACTGAGAAACACACTGTTTTTAGGTTAATAGTTTCGACCTTCCAGTGAGATTGATGTAAATTGTAAATAAATAATACAATTATAAATCATTAATAAGTAAAAAAAAAAGAATAAAGTTACCTCACATGATCCAATAATAAGCGACAGGTGAGAGGTCTAATTAGCGTCTCTAGTCCTCAGGTAAAACACCTTAATACACATTCTTATAACAGCACCTGAGAGCACCTGATATATTTACATTATAACAAGGTAGG